GAGCGACACTCCGTCGAGCCAACAAAACAGCAGCAGCACCGTCCGAGACCTGACTCGCATTCCCAGCATGAGTCGAACCAGTCTTGGAAAACGCAGGCTTGAGCTTGGCCAGGCTTTCCTTGGTCACGCCCTCGCGCACGCCATCGTCCCGATCGACGATAATCTCCTTTTCCTCTTCGGTCTTGGGGTCGACCCACTTGGTCTTGACGGGGATGATCTCGGATTTAAAGTTGCCCGCCTTTTGGGCCGCGGCGGCCTTGGCAAACGAGTGGGCGGCGAATGCGTCTTGGGTCTCGCGGCTGATCTTGTATTCCGCTGCGACGTTTTCGGATGTGATGCCCATGGGGATGAGGCAGTCGGCCGATTCTTGGTTGGACATGACGGCGTCGGAAAACGCGGCGGGCATGACGCCTGCGCCGTACCCGTGGGTCATGCTCTCCACACCGGCACCTAGAGGCAATCAGCCAAGGTATAATAATGTAACACGAGACGCACCAATGCCAATGTCAATTTGCCCAGTGCTGATCTCGTTGGCGATCTGGCTGACGGCGGTCAAGCCAGAGCTGCATTGCCTGTTGACAGTGTACACCGCACTCGAGTTGGGAATCCCAGCGTGGAGAGCGGCCATTCGCGCCGCGCTTGCTCCTCCACCAGGTGGTAGGACGTTCCCAACGGCCACATCCTCGATCAACTTGGGGTCGAGCTTGACAGAAGTGTAGACCGCCTTGAGCACATGGCTCAACATCTCCTCGGGGAGCGTGTCTTTGAATCCACCCTTCTTGGCCTGCAAGGATGATTAGCTAGCGAGACGAGGGTCGTGGCAACACGTACCTTGGTGATGGCCGTTCGAAGGGCAGAGACGACAACGACGTCGTTGGGAGACTGGGAGAGGATTTGAGACTTGGCCATGGTAGACGTTCAGTGTGGAGATGCGGAGCAGAGGACCGCCCTATAAAGCGTCGGTCACTCAGCATACCGGCAACGCCAGCCCGAATTGAACCCAGCTTTGCCGCCATAGCCGGTTTCACGTGTGCGACGCGCATGTGAAAGAGAAGGTCCGGAATAGGCGACGTCGGTCCATCATGTGTCGTGGTGGTTAGGTCGGAGCTTCAAATCAGTCTTCCGTGGCGCAATCGGTGGCGCGTCTGACTGTTACCTAATTAACGACATCAGAAGGTTGCTGGTTCGAGCCCAGCCGGGAGAGTTACTTTTTTAACCTTCTCCTAATTGCCGTTGTGGAGTCCGGGCAAAATCTTAGTATTGTTTTGAGCAGGGATATACCCATACGCGACATACTACACTCCCAAAAGCGCAAACAAACATAGATTCCATGTAAAGCCTATGCATATACCCTGCCTGATAAACGTCCACACCTGCGAACCAGAAACATTAGCTTAACGAAACTGAGGCAATTCCAAATCACCAGTATTACCACACGCGGTGCCCCAGAACAACCAAGGATACTAACAGCGAGTGAGACAGCATTGGCAAAGACAACCTGCCTTATGCGTTCAGAAATCCGTGCAGCACAAACAAAGTATTTGGAGAGATGATCGACTATGAGGACCGCAAACTAGAGGATTGGAAGCTGCGATAAGTAGGATATGAGTTAGGTGTCAAGTGTAGTCGGTAACTAGGACTCACACAGTGATAGATGTATGTGACCTAAGGCGGGTAGTCGGGTAAGTCCATTTACGAGTCTAAGGCTGAAGGTCTACTCGCGCGGCCCATGATCGAGAAAGGTACTATGTGTGGAAGACTTTGAATCACCTGTCCATGCTATACACACGCTAAAATCATGGAGATGAAATACCCAGCCCAAGAATGCCAAATTTGCGACATACGAGAACTGATACCACCCTCCAGGCCCAAAAGTGCCTTCAATAGATCCACCCCTGTTGCCAAAACGCCAAGTATAAGCGTAACCGCGCTACCCATGGGTGCCCAAGGAGGTAATCCTTGATTTGGCCGTCGCCCATCCGCACATGCACAGCCCGACGTGGAGGAACGGCCATTCAGTTGGTTTGCTCGCGGAGGTATCTTCTTTCTTCGGGTCCGCGATGAGTGCGTTTTTGGATGCCATCATAACGCCGTTGAGATGTCGAAAGTTACGGAAGACGGGGGAGAATGGGCTTTAGCATTCCCCGCGTGAACTGTGCAGCACCATTGGATGCGAATTAATACGCCGTTCCCCATTCGCCTCATGCACACCAAATCACTCACACTTGGACGATCGATGGTCTTTGCCGACAACGCGGCCGATCTCAAAACATGGTTCCTCGAGGAACGGATGCCAGACAACTGGGAGCCGACAGTCCGGTGGCGCTACGGATTTACGATTGCGCACCTCAACTGGTTTTCAGTTTGCCCTCTCTTATCTATCGTTTCTCCTGGTGACTGAAACTCGGTTAGATCGTCCTAAATTGAGTATGGGATCTCGCGTGCGGGAAAGCTGGAGGAAAAGGTCAAGAAGGATGGGAAGAGGATGTGCATCGGGAAACCGGGGTATGCTTGATCGCAAATACGTATGACTGATTGCTAAAACCGCATATCAGAGACGACATATATGCCCATATATGCAGACTATATGTCCTTATATTGTGTATCTGCCATGCCCCAATTTCGTGATGTGAATGGCTGTATATACTGTAGAAGACTGTAGATTGTGTGTAATGAGATGCATAAGATGTGCCTGTAAGCTTTTAGTAACTCGGCGGACAGAATGTATCGACCTTTGTACCTGATGTCTCGGGGCCGATCGTCCGTCGAGCGGGTTATTCTTACTTAGAACTGAAATTATAGGCGAGAGGATGAAGCCCGCCACCATCTACAGTGTTTAACTCGGCGGCGGGTCACGAGGGCTTGCATGTTGGTGGTGTGCGTTAACATAATCGCACGTTTTGGCAATGCCTCGGGTAATATGCCGCGCATATACCAAGTCCGGGGGGTGCAATAGCCGAGGGACTAGGCCGTTGGTGCTCTTGCTAATGAGCGCACTCGCCATCGCCGGTCTAAATTCAAAGGCCGTATCTTACCACGTACTTCGCATCTGTTGCCATATCAGAATACTCTCATTGGGCAATCCAGTAAACATAAGTAACAGCTTGCATCTATCTCCAAACTTTGACGCATCAAGAAGCAGGGGACAAATTCTAGAAGAGACGTTAGTTATAACATGACCTGAACAAAAGAAAAATGGATGAACGAT